ACAGCCAGACGAATTTTGAGGCTTAGATGCAGTGTTGGGTACCTGAGGATGCCTGAAGGAATGGATGCAACGCTGAAAGAATACACAGAATGCCAGCATTACAGAGAATGATGTGAAATTTCCCACACTATACTGCCAAATCCCCTGACTAGTATGGAAGGCTTAAGAAACATGTCTTTATAATTTTCTTTGTTGTAATTGGACATTTTTCAAATGGTATCCCCTTTAAAAAAGTGATAAAACAGAAGGAAGCAACTTACCAGCAATTAAAAGAGTATTTTTGAAATGTGTTGTCCATACACACTTCAGCTCAGAAACTTCTTTGATGCACTACCTATAGCATGCAAATGTTGTCCCCTTCCCCTCTCCCTCCCATGGCCACACAGGGACACACAAAGTGTCCTTTGGTCTCTTCTCAGCCATGAGAAGGCTACAGAAGTCTACACAAGGCTGAGGTGCCAGAGTGAGAAGCTGTGCACTTGAGTCAGCCCATCTTTGAGAACTCCAGCTGTGAGTAACTCCTCTTTTTCTGCTTTCCCTTCCCTGACAGCACGTTTGCCCAGGGGGAAGCTATCCCAGTGTCTGTGCCACCCAGGCTGTCCAAAGCTGGCTCTGTGGCTTCAGGGTGAGAGGCAGTTTGGGATCACCCTGCAGATGAGGAGGCTCCACATTAGCCCACTAAACTCATACTGGAGCACCAGCAAGGAGCTTCCAAAATGGGAAGCATTGAGGGTTCAGGCACTGAGACAGCACCTGCAGCACCTCTTGCTGAAACAAGACCAGGACTCCACACACATGTAACACTCCAACACCAGGCTCCAGGACAGCAGGCAAGCCAGGTTTTAACAAACTCAGCTTTAGGAGAGGTTTTGTACCAACAAAAACCCATGCCTTTGCTCCAAAGAGGAGCTGCTCAAGCCTGTTTTCCTAGAAACCAGTGTTTCCTGTTGTCCCATTCCTCAGACCCAGCTGGTCCCTGGCACATGTGAGGCAGTTGAAAGGACAGACTGAACAGATTGCTTGCTAGGAAACCCAGCAGCAAAAGGAGAAGCAAGTCTACTACATAGACTGAGCATGAAACCTTACATCTTGGTACCTGCCCTGGAATCAGACACGTGCAGAGAAACACATCTCCAGATAACAAAACACAACGCTGAGCACAGCTGGGGAAGAAAAACGAACTCAGCAGGGCACATGCAGAGAAACACCATTTAAGGGAGGGAAAAGTCTCTCAGGCTAAAAATGTTACACCTCTTGATCATAAAATGTCAAAAAGTCTCTGGCACAGCCCCACCTCCTGGTGCCACAGAGCCTGACATACATCAAACTGGGTTTCTGTTTCTAGCAAACCTCAGGCTGGCCAATGCCTTACCCAAATAGGGTGGGCTCCAGGACTGACCATCCAAAGTTGGGGCTGCATGAGATGGAAGCCACCAGGTGTGCAACATAGGTGGGGTGTTAATGTAGCACATTGGATTACCTATTGTTTAGCAAAGTCCAGGAGGTACCTAGAGCCATGCTACCATAGCAGAGACTGCACACCCTGTGGCTCACCAAGAGCATCTACCATAGGCATCCACTTTTAGGAGTTGCCCTGTCAGGTACTGACAAATCTGCCAGCAAGTGATGAAATTGCTGTGCCAGTTTCATACACTGTGCTGCAGTAAATTGCCACATGCACCCTCTTCGTGGGCATCCCAGGCAGTAACAGAGCATGCATCACTTTGTTACCCTTGCTGCCCAAACATGACCGGTTTAGACTGAGGTGAGGCTGTTCACACATACAAAGGAAAGCTATCATACACCCCTGGTAACACACAATACTTCCAGGTCTGTGTTTCCAGGAATAATCTGAATAAGAAATGAGTTACCCTGGAACCAAAAGGAGACACCTTATTTCAGGAAAACAAAGTACATTTTAGATACAAGATGAAAGCAACTACTACTACCCTCAGAGAGTACCCACACTCTCTATGAAAGAAAGAAGTGAGAAAAAATGGGTTGGTGAACCCAAAGGCTGTGAAAGGTAAAAGCGATTTCCAGAAGGTGGAGGTGTGCATAGCTGGGACCATTTGAAAGGGAATCAAATACAATTTTAAGTGCAGGGGAAGAGCAAGGCAAATCCTGAGGAGGTCTGATGGTCAGGAAAGCAGAGCACCACAGAGACAGAAAAAACATGGAAGGGAACAGCAAGGAATACCCTGGTCTGAAGAGCACCAGCGGGGCAGAGGGGTTTTACAGGATGAAGATCCCTGTCCAGAGATTCATTCCAACTCCAACCAGCATGGTCACAGGGTCCATGAAGGATGACACAAAGCAGTCCTGGTGCTGCCTCCCATCTGAATGCCTGAGAGAGCCACACGGGTGTGGGCTGTGAGCACACAGTGGGGTGCAGCTGCCTGGGATGTGAACACCACTCACAGTCACTCACTTGTAACTGCAGTTCTCTGAGCAATCGTGCACACGTGCACTTCACCTCTCAGTCCTGCACTCTGGGAGCTGCTGCAGCCTAGAGGAACATAACAAGTGCCCTTCCCTCCCCCTCTGAACACAAGGCATGGGAGCAGCTGTGGGGGCTGCAAAGAGAGCCCAGACTCTGTGGGCACAGGCCTGGAGTCTGTCTGCACCCACAGGCAGAAGTGGCAAAAAGACAAACACTCAAAGCAGAAAACAACCAAACAGTCACTTATCACATCCCTAAAAATCTCTAGGATGCTGCTAGACTTTAAAATTCACTGATTTCTGTTAAATGTTTTCTGACTTTTTTAACTAATCAAGCCCCCCAGAATCTTCCCCACTCCCATGCCATTATAAGAAATTTCAGAAAATAGGTACTGGACATATAAAAGCCCATTGGACATGGAAAACAACTCCAACCACCCCAGACAGCTTGGGGAGAAGGAAGGGTACCTAGCAAGATGCTTGTTGGCTTCCCCCATGTTCAGGTGCTGATTACCATCAGTTTTCTGTGCTATCTGTTGAAGCTGTAAGTCCTCAGCAGCAAGAGCAAACTGCATGTCCTGATTCCAAGCAGGTCCTGGGTGAGCCACAGATGAGGGAACAAAAATGGAGCCAGGGCTCCAAATGGAGACGGTGGCTGCTCATACCCGGACAGCAGGGCAAAGAGCTGTGGTGGCATCAGGATTTCATTTTGGAGAACTGGATCCCTCTAGTGAAGTACTTAGTGCAGCCTCAGCACAAAAGGATGTGAGCTACTAGCAACTCCAGCCCTTATTCAAATAGGGTGAAACTCCCTGACCCTGGAGTTTGCACACAGATCTTAAGAACAAATACGAGAGCTTTGCTTCCAGGCAGGAAATCCCTTTTACCACACCTTTCTGATTTACACCAATGCTTGATACACACCACATGTGTCTTCCCCTTCCTTCACCCACATTCACAATGGTTCTGTTCCATATTTAAGTGATGAAAAGTTAAGACCTGTGGTTACAACTTCTATGAAAAGCTTCATTTTGAAGGCTGCTACATTTCAATTTTATTGCCATGAGGAAAACTGAAAAAAAAAAAAAAGCCAAAATATTTCACTCCTTCCTTAACATGAAAGCTGTTGTGAAGACATTTAATAAGTAAGTTCTCTCCTGCAAGTTGTTGAAATATGGAAGGTGGGAAAATTTATTCTTACAAATGTTTTGTATGAGTCCCATCCACAATTTTATGCATGACACTTAATTTCTACTGTACAAGGTGTCTGTGGCAAGTTTGGTCAGCATTTTTTCCTGAAGTGCATCTCAGCCGGCAAAGCTTACAACAAACCCTTCCACTGAGATTTGTTACAAGGAGAAAAACAAGGAATAACATCGGGGCTGCCCCAGCTAGGAGAGAGAGTGAAAGATGGAGCACAAAAACTTACCCACCTGCCTGCGTGTGGGAATAGAAGGACATTCATCTCAGAGATGTTATGTAGGGAAACAGCAGGAGTGAGAGCCATCAGAAAACTGGCAAATGCATCTGCTTTTTCCATTCAGGACTGCTGCTGACTAGATCTCTGCAAAATTTCCTCTGTTCCACAGACCTGCCCAGTGGGATCTGTCTGGCATTAATTGGCCTTCAAAATTACTTATGGAAAAATCTTAAGCTAATTTTTGTAAGTCGTTGAGTAAAGGGGGAAAAAAAAAAAAGCTTGTTTCTTTAAAAAAAGAAACAAACTAAGCAAGAGAGAAAAATCAATAAATTCTTGCATGTGGACATCGTATTCTTCTTCTTAATAGAAATGCCTTAGGACGGAGATATGGCCCTAAATTTCCTACTCAGTTTCTTTGTGTGAATTATGGGCCGCGAAAGGTGAAAGCCTTTTGTGTACTGAGGTCCGACGGGGAGAAGGGCAGAGGGGGAAGAGGGGAACAGCGGGAAGGCGGGGGCCAGGCGGTGACTTTGGAAAGAGCTCGGATGGCCGAGGAGTTCGGAGGGGGAGCAGCCCCGGCCGGGCACCAGCAGGCGGGGACCGACGGTCACCGAGCCCGGAGGGACCGCGGGGAGCCCAGGGGGCTGCGGCGGGCACAGAGAGGCGCACAACGGCGAGGTCCGTGAGGAAAGGCAGGGCTCCGGGAGCCGCGGCAAAGAGAAGCGCGGGACGGGGCATCCCGGGCTCCGATGCCCGGCCCCGCCCGGAGCCGCTGCAAAGCCGCCCCTGCCCGCCGGGGCTGCCCGCCGAGGCTCGGGGGCAAAGGGAGGCAAAGGACGCAGCGGGGCGGGGGAATGTGAAAAGTCCCGCTCCCCAGTGCTGGTCTTTTGTTCCCGGGGGCCGACACCCGCCGAATGCCCCGGCAATGTGGGGAGCGAGCTCCGCCGAGCTGCTCGGCTCCCCTCTCTCGGGAAAGAAAGGGAACGGGAATCTTCCCCTGCCCGGTGCCCGGCGACAGCGTGCCCGGGAGCGACACGGCCCCGCCGGGCGCGGGGAGAGCGGGGCAGGCGGAGCGGGACCGCCCGGCTCCCGCAGCCCCCGCTGCAGCGCCCGCCCCCGCCCCGGCCCCGGGGCTCACCGTCCTCGTAGTTCTTGAGGTAGTAGTCGGGGCCGGGCCCGCCGCGGCTCTTGGCCGGGTTCTTCACGTTGTGGAACTGCAAAAAGTCCGTCCTCTTGCCCGCGAAGCGCAGGAAGGCGGGGGCCAGGCCCCGCGCCAGGGTCACCAGCCGCCGGGAGCTGGGGAGAGGAGAGAGAGGGCTGAGGAAGCCGCGGGCCGGGCCCTCGCTTCCCCAATACCGCCAGCGACCGGGGACCACGGGGCTCGAGGACCCGCCGTTGTCCCGCCCGGGGCAGTGCGAGCGGTACCAGCGGCTGCGGGCTCTGCGCGGGCCGAGCGGCGCGGCCCTGGAGCGGGAGCCGCCCCGCCGCCGGTGGCGGCCCGGAGGCCGGCGGGCCCGGCTCCCCCCGTCCTGCCGGCGCCCTCCGGACAAGTGCAGCGGCGTCCAGGAGGCAGAGGCGCTCAGCACCACGCGGGACCGTGCCGCGGGCCGAGCCGCCGGGAGGGGAGAGGAGCGGGGAGGGGAGAAGAGCGGGAGCCGTCCCGGCTCCGCTTCTCTCGCGCCTTCCCGCATCCTCGCCCTGCTCCTTCCCCGGCTGCCGAAAGGACCCTCGCAGCGGGCGTGCGGAGGAGACCCGCTCTCCCTCCCCGACTTACCCAGCAGGGAGAAGGCTCTCTGGCCGTCCCAGCGCCTCCAGGCCGCGGCCGCTCCGCACCGCCGGTGGAACCCAGCGCAGCTGCAGCCCGGCTCTGCCCCCCGCGCAGGGCTGGAAGTCCGGGGAGCGGAGGGCTCGGAAGACCTGGCCGACACCCGCTCTCTACCCGTCGGGACCCGGGGAAGGCTCGGCTCGGCTCGGCAGGCGGCCCCGTTCCTGCTGCTGTTTTTTGTTCCATTTTGATTTTTTTTTTCCCCTGTGCTGCCTCGGCCCCGTGTTGTGCTTTTTTGCAGAGGAGCGGTTGCTGGAGCGAGGGGAGCACGACATTTTTGCAGTCATAACTGATAAGTCTCCGAAATGCTTTCTCCATTGCAAACATGTGCATCTTAATGGAAACCATGGCCTCGCTCCCTCCGTCACAACAAGCGCCGCCAGCAGCGCGGAGCCCGGCAGGGCTGGGCGGCGGGGCCGCCGGGGCGCCCCGCGGGCGGCGTGGGGAGGGCGCCGGGGGGCTCCTGCCTTACCTTAAGAAATCGAGCCAGCCATCATGAATGATGGAGGGGTCCAGCTGCAGGGAGAGGAAATTCTCACTGATTATCCTGACAGGGCTCTTGGTGTTGACATCAAGGAGAATGAGAGTTCTTCCCTTCACACCTGGAGGTTTCTCCACCGGCAGTGCTCTCCTGTCCCCAGCCTGGGAAGGCAGCGAGAAGGTGGCCATGAGGGCCAGCCCAGGTGCCATCAGGGCTAAGAGCCCTGGGGGGCAGGAGCTGGGACAGGGCATGCCGGAGAGCAGGAAACCCCTAATTAACTCGCTGTCTGCAGGGGCTCGCTGGTGGCTAATTGTCCTTATCTAAAGTGTGGGGCGCTCTGCCTTTTTTTGCAATGTTTTGGTGTTGGTGGAGGGGAACTCACGCCCCTGACCAGCCTTTCTCGCAGCCGGTGCCAAGACTCCTTGCAGCCAGCACCGCCCCTTTAAGAGATGCAGGCTCCAGACATTTTTAACTTTTTGAAGGTAAGGGGAGGCTCCTGGTTTAACCCCCTCGGCTCGGGGCCCGCCGCCCTGCCGCAGCCCCGCCAGCCCCGAGCTTTCGCTTTGCGCCGGCTCCGGCGGACGTTTTCGCTCCCGCACCACGCGAAACGGGGACGGAGTCGGGACACCGAGACACCGGAGAGCTCGGGACGGGGACCGGGCGCGGGGGCCGGCCAGCACGGTCCGAGATGGTCGTCGGCTGCAGGAACGACAGAGCCGGTAAGGCAGCGAGGACGGCCCTGGATGGAGAGGGGGGTAGGGGGGATGGTAATCACCCCGGAAAAAGCCCCAAGCGCTACCTGAGGGAAGAATTACCTCCACACTGCGCCGGGACCCGCTACGCTGGGCGAGGCCCCCGGGGCTGAGCGCTGGAGGCTCGGACGGGCGCAGGGGGGCTGGGGGCCGGCAGCGCCCCCGAGCCCGAGCGCGGCCGCTCGGTGCGCCCTGCCCGAAGCACAGGGCCGGTCTTCGCACGAGGGCCATCGGCACTGCGGGGAACCGGGGCACGGGGAATCGAGCCGCCGGTCGCCTTTTCCCGCCTGCCTCCGAGCCCATCGGTGTCCGACCAGCGGCAGGGAAAGGAGAGGGGCGGCAGCAGCAGTGCCTGCTGTGGAAACGTCCGCGTCGGGGGCGGAAAGGGCAGCACGGTTTGATGGCACCGACGAGGAGCCCTGTGCTGGGGCCGTCGCTGCCTCCAGGACGGACCGGGCTCGGCGCACTGCAGAAGTGCCCGCGGCTGCGGTTGCCAGCTCTGGGCGCAAGGTCATGGCACCGGGCCGGGGATCGGTGGCGGCTGCTGACGATGCCGGGAGCCTCAAGGAATGCCCATCCGACTCGGACATTGTGTCCGTCAGCAGCCGCTCCCCGGGAAAGCCCCGAACTCCCACAAGCAGGCTGCTGCCTCCGGGACACGTAACGCGCCCGCACCTGGGCTCTCGGCCGCCGTGGCCCGCCCCGGTTCCCGCGTCGCCCAGGCCATGCGGGACGGAGGGCGGGCGGCGGGAGGGCTGAGGCGGGCCAGGTGCGGTCCGTCGGGGCCCCGCAGCCCCGGGGATGGGGCGGCCGCAGCACCATCTGCTGGTGAGGGGCCCGGCGCGGCGGGGGAGCCGGCACCCACCTGCGGACACCCTCCGCGCCGCGGCCGGGAGGTGCCGGGGCTGCGGGCGGCAGCGCGGCTTCGGCATCGAGCCATAAATCTCACCGCAAGCGTGGCCGAGCCCCGGGGACCCGCCAGCCGCCCTCGGGGAAGCCGGCGGGGCGGATTCGAGCGGCCCGGGCAGCCGGATCAGGGGCACCCCGAGTGCACGGGCAGCTCCCTGTCCCGGCAGGGCTGCCCGCCCCCGGGAACCCTTTCCAGCTTCTCCCGGTGTCCGTGCGGAGCTACCTGCGGCCCCCGACCGCCCCAGTCAGGGCCCGAGGGGCGGCGGGAGCGGCCCCGGTGAGCCGGCGGCAAATCCCGGAGCCCGGTGCGCTCGGCGGAGCCCCGCAGAGAGGAGAAGCGCTCGGCCTGGCCCCGGTGAAGCCCGCGGACAGCGCTGTCTCCGGCGGAAATCTCCACTCGCCCCGTCTCTCTGCCCTTGAAACGCCCCAAGAGAAGAGGGGCAGCCACCCCTGCCAGCCCCGGCCCACTCGGGCAGCGGCTGCGGGGTACGGAGCCGCGGCGGTGACGCGTGGGGAAGGATGAAACGTGTCTCTGCTGGGGCTGAGCAGGGAACACTCGAACTGGGATCTGCCGTGAAACATCCCGGCAAAGCGGAGACGGGAGCAGGCTCCAGCCGCGCCTGGGAAGAGGCTGCCGAGCGCAGGCTGACCCAGAGCAGCAAAAGGGTGCCCGGGGCAGCGGGCTCTGAGCACTGGAAAAAGTAAGAGGATCCGGGAAAAAGAGCTGTGCAATTTCAGCTGTGCAAAGCCCTGGCATCCCGGCACAGGAAGAAGGCAATTTAAGCCTGGAAATTTGTGTTCGGCTGCAAACATTTCTGCCGAGGTTTGCAATAGCACTCAAAACTGACCCAGGACCTAAAGCCTCTGCTTCAGAAGCTGCACAGTTTTTTGGGTCATCTCCAAATGAGGAACGCGAGTTTCAAAATTATCTCGTTATTTTTTAATAATTTTTTCTATGCTTACAGAGGTTGAGAAAAAGGCTTCAGGGGTATTTGTTGTGATTGCAGGCCGAAATTTTGTACCGTGCCTCCCTCCAAGGATGGTTCTATTTTCAAACGAAATTCCAGAGTGTTCTGTAGTAAAAGGGGGGGGAAAAGCCACAAACAAAAACTAAACAAATTATCCCGTTTAACCTCCTTTTTATATATTTTTTTTCCTTACAAACACATTACTTCGAAAGAGAAATGTGTTTATTCTGAAAAGTTCCCCACAATTTGTCTCTGCTTTGAACGCAAACTCCGGATGCACTGAAGTCACTTATCTGCAGAGATATCACCAACAACATTAAACAGCGGGGAAAGAGGCAAAAAAAAACCCCAAATGCCGGAGTCACCTTCCAGATTCTGGGAAGACGACGTTAAAGGAAATACTCATTTACCTCTCTGAGCTTTCCAGACCAACACCGGGAGCTTGCCCCAATCCTGTGCCCTCGGAAATGCAGTTGCACCCCACTTTGCATCTGACCCCAGCAGCTGCAAGTTAAATCTAAAAATACAGTGCTTCGGGCTTTTTTGTTTGTTGGCCTGTTTTTCAATAAATTGTAGGCTTTCTATAGAAAACATTTAAACGCTAAAAATTCCCCGGTTATCCGCGAGCGCCGGGGCAGCAGCGGAGGTGCGGGAGCCCCCAGCGCCGCCAGTCCCGGGAGCCGCCGCCGCCGCTCCGGGACGGCCCCGGCATCCAAAAAGAGGGGCCAGGGCCACCTCCTCCCCAGGCAGGCACGCCAGATAGGAGCTATCTCAATTTACACCAGCTGCGACCCTGGCTGGCCGTCCGCAGGGGCGGCGAAGCGATGATCCTTTCTTATATTACGATAATTACTTTCGAAAGCCTGACTCACATAAAAAGTATCTATAAAGATTTACTCGCGGTTTTGTCAATTTCGAAATAGGTTTCTCCGTTTTCCATCTACTCTAAACTTGCTGGTTTCAATCTCCAAAACAGTCATTGGAAAAGAAAACTGGGGGTGGAGAAGCATTTCTATAAAGAGCTTAACCAAAGCACATTAAATATTTTCCCAACATCACCAAATAAACAACAATTCTCCAGCTCCCTATAAACTATTTAAAGCATGTCATATCATCTCTTCTGCTCTTGCCAATGTACTTTTCTTTTAATTTACAAGCTGATTAGAGCAGGGGCCTGTCTTTTTGTATATATTTGCAAAATATTTGGCACCCTTTCAGTCAGTTGCAGTTCACAAACACTTAAAACTGCATTTAACTTCATTATTATAGGTAGTCACTTCGATTTTTCCTCTCTTTTGTAGAGCTACTGCCTGTGAAAGTGCTTCTTGTAAATGGTCTGAGCAGTTGTTGAAGGTTTTCAGCAGAGGAAACCTCTTCAGATGGGAAAAAAAAGAAAAAAAAAAAAAAAAAAAAAAAAGAGAAGAAAAAGCACAACGGAAATCTAAACTCAGATCTCAGGCTATACAAATTGGCCCAAAAGAAAATGGGGGAAATCTCCTTCAGAGGAACATTTTTAGTTCTCTAAAGAATAAACTTTGCTCATAAATGATGAAAGTTATTATCATCAGAGGATGTCCTGTACCAAACAAACCTCCATTAGGCTGGGAAGGATAAAACAGGCTAGACAGCCCTTAAAAAAAAAAATCATCATGTCTTTGATTCCCAAGATATCAACCATGTCTGTTTCTTTAGTGCTGTCAAGTAAATCTGAGTTATGGATGCTCTAAAAGAAGCCAGCAAGGAGAAAATTCAGCAAGTGAAAATTAAGAGTTATCCATACTTCACAAAAATACACTTTCTTTTCAAGCTCTTAAGCTTCTGCCCTGTAGAATGGTATGGCAATTTCTTAGAAGAGCAAGACCAGTGAATGTGGTAAAGCTGTGATCATCAGAGCATACAATTGCATGACCGATTCTTTTTACTGAGCTTTTTGCTCTTTCTGCAATGCAGTGTCCATCATTTTCACCACAAGAGCTTTAACGTCTGGAATGCAACCTCCTAAAACTGCCAGTGCCTCAAGGTGGGTGTCACAGCCTGAGCTCCACTGCTGAAACCATTTTCTAGCCTGTTTATGTATCATGTCTAACCTGATCAAACAGACAGAGGACAGTTGCTTGATTTAGTACAGCATCCACATATTGCTCTTTAATGTAGGTGATCTGGGAAGTTGTGTAAAAAGCAAATCCCTCTGTCTGAGCGAGAAGGACTGGCTGGTTAGGGAGCTCGGGCACAGCAGGAGGAAAGCAAGCCTACTGAGAGAGCTTCCTCCCTCCATACATGCCAAAGGCAAGGCATCCATCAAAGCCAGCAGCCTGGTCAGGAAAAGCACAGTTGGTTGGCAATGTTGTCTTTGCATTTTTGCCAGCGTGAAAGGAGCACAAACTGGTATTTCCAAATCTAGCCATAGGAAAATAGAGCACATTTCTTTGAGAGTCGTTCTGTACTCACTAGCTGTGTAATGAAGAAACCTGTAAAAAAAAAAAAAAGGTGGGGGGGACGGGGGCAAAAAGCACTGGTGCCATAAAGGTTGTGAGGTTGTGAGTGTGGGCTCTCCCTGGGTGGAACACCACAGAATGAAACTGGGAGGATGAAACGGAGTTTTAGGCAGCTATCAATCAATGATTATTTTTTTTTCTTTATTCCCGTTCTGTGAGAAGTTAGATTCCATGTACTCTGTGGGAATAAACAGCATTTATTGTTTCCCTTACCTGCCTTATTGTTTTACTTTATCTGACTTCTGATGCATAGTCTCAGAACTTCTCTTACAATCCCAGGGTACTCTGGTCCTGCAGATTTGTCCATAGGGAGAACTTATGAAATCCCAAAGTGCTGAAGTCCCAACAGGACTTCGAAGTCCTAAAAAGACAGAGATGCACAATTTCCATAAAGCTGTAGGAATTGCTCTGGGGTTTAAACCAGGTGCCCACCTGAGCACACAGAAATCCCCTTTGCCCAGTGCCTCTTCTGCAAGCAGAAAAAAATCCACATAATGACTGAGAACATTTCAGTGTACAACAATGCCCTTGGACAGACAATGCTCTTTGGCTCCATCAACTTCTCTGTACTCATCAATGGCCAGGTCTGATTTCACTTTTGTCTTTCATATCTTGAGAAGCAGCAAATACAGCAGCAATTTGCCACAGTCAAAGAGATACAGAGTGAGAACACAACAGTGAGACTGGAGCTCTGCAGTGCCCTGAAGACCACAATAGCCTTGGAAAACTTTTTCTTCAGACTGAGCCCAGCCCTGAGCAGCAGAGAAATGTGTAGAATTATTCCTGTTTCACATCATCACGTGAAAAAGAAAGAGAAGTGAATATGCCAATTTTACAAGCCTGAGAATGAATGCAAGTGAGTATTTGTCCCACCATCTGGGGGAGATGATAGAGGTGAAGGAAGAGGGAATATGAGGGGGATGGTAAAAGTTGACAGAGACCTTCTATTTTTCTGGAGGGATGCTTTACATTCCAGCAGCAAAAATGGAGGAAGCGGACATGAGAATTAGATCAGAGAGGGGAAGTAAGAAGATGGATGAAGTGCAAGACTGGAGGAGCAAACGAGTCAATTATGAAAAAGAGGAAGGAACTGTGTGCCGAAATCAACGAGGAGATGGAGCTCAGGGGAAGGAACAGCAGCCAAAATGCTCTCAAATCTGAGAAGCTGCTGGGGTGAGAGAGACAGAAAAGAATTGGAATATTTCAGGTAATGATAAAATTGTAAGTCCCTGTCTGCTGTATTTATTTGCATAGGGCAAGTAAGCTCTCTGTCACCAGCTCTAGCCAGACATCTGAGCATGGCCCTGCTACAGACAAAGACAGACAAATCAGCCATGTCAAAGCTGCAAACTGTTGGTGTGCATTAGAGAAATCAGAAGCAACACATGAAACTCAAGGCTAGAGAGTAAGAGGAGAAAACTATGGGTGATGCCTGAAAAACAGACAAATGGATGAAGTAGAAATAAAGTTAAATGCCCATAAGGAACCACGGAATTTGGAAGCCCAGAAGAGAGCACCACTGAATGAGGGGGAAAGGCCAGCAGTACATCAGTGACCTGTACTCATGGAGGGAGGAGTCTCGGGCTGATGCCAGATGGACTTTAAACCAAATATTCTGCTTCCATTGCCCAGAAAAAGCAATGTTCTTTCTGCATAAATTCCAGAGCCCTTACAGGAACTTATCCTCACCTCAGCATTGCTTAAGGGCTGGCATGTCAGCAGAAGTGAGGGGTGAGGTGCAGAGTCCCTAACCCAGGCACAGAACCTTACTGACCTGTTGTAGGAAAGGTGCATTTATTCATAACACAGACATTTTTGCCCTTTCTACCACGGGCAACTGGGTATTGCCTTGTATCTTCTCCCTCCACAGTTCCCCTTCTGTTGGTCCTTTAGAACAGCAACAGTTGAGAAAGCTAAAAATAAAGCTATATAAGCAATATAATAGGCATGCAATTGCATGTCTATTTTCTTTGAAAAAATGATGCTTTATTTCCTGTTCAATGGAAAATACAGTTTGATGTTACAACTATTAGGTTTTGACTGAATGCAGAAATTTGACTGAAACAATGACATTTCCCCCTGTATTTACTATTACCATATGTCACTGATTATATATTTAAGTTGCAAAGATGAATTAAATTTCATGGCTTCCTCAAGCTAGATTCTCTTGGAATGGACTGTCTTTTGTTACTAATCAAAATGCTTGGAAAACAGTTTAAATCAAAACAGCAGACTTTTGGTATCATTTCAGGAGAAAACTGGTTATCACAAACCAAGTGCTTAACACATCATCATCCAGAAGGCTGGGTGAAGCCTTGCAAAGCTGCAGCCATCATGGCCAGGATAGAGAAAGAGGGTTAATTGAACACCACAGACTTTGAGATGGAAAAAGGAGAGGAAAAAAAAAAGACACTGTTTGAAGCTCTCTTGCCTGGGGTGTTATTCCTTCTGCTTCTGAAGTTATCATATATCCCACATCACAGTGCTTATTTCACTTACTTAGGCAAAGCATCTTCTCTAAGCTGGCTACAGAGCATTAGTGACAATCAGATTGCACGTATGTTCCAGGAGAAGCCAGCCTTGTCCTTCCTAGATTTCCTCCCGCTTTCTGGGGAGAAAAAAAATTCTGGTTTTTCTTTTTTTTTTTTTACTCCTTCTGTTTCCCATCATGATTTGGATTGCTAACATTTCTATCCCCACTAGGAGTCCCTGGTGGCTCCTGGCCCTTTTCTAAAGGACCAGCGGACAGCAGAGCCCCTGGGCTCCCATCAACCAGGAAGGAAGTGAATTGCAACCCACAGCCTCCCAGACTCCGATTTCAGACCTTAAGGTGATGTAAAACGACTTTAGGAAACTCCCCCTGTCCAACTTCCCACTTCCTCCAGGTCCTGTCTGGACTTGAACAGCCAGAGCTGGAAGAGGACAGTGGTGACTAGAGAAGTCACCACGAGAAGGTTTGTGGATATTGCAGGCTGTGACACAAGAGGGATCTCAGTGGTGACAGACACAGTGTAAAGCAGAACCTGAACAGAGCTGGTGAGTGGGAATCAGGTTGTCATTCCTAACTGAAGACTTTGGGAAGAATAGGTAAAAGAAGTAGGATTCAGCATAAGAAGGACAGCTATGCTGTGCCTGCTGAAGGACTCAGCAGGCAGGATACAGCCAGGACAGGCCTCAGTGAGAACATTGCATATTCATGTCATACTTTGCCAAAGACTCAATCAATTGAGCATGTGCTAAAGCTGAGTTTGTTTTGTCTTATTGGGAGCTTTGGAAGATATTTCCTATCTTGACTCATTGAACACACTCCAACCACACACCTGCAACTTCTGGAGTGCATCCTCTCAGCAAGAGGCTGGCTAGCACGTCGTCACTTATGCAGGGCAAATCCTACTGAAAGCACATCTGACCACAGCTTTCACACCAGTTTACTTTTACATGTAGCACATGTAAGCTAACATCTGGCAAGAACACAACTATGTCCTGATCGAGATGGAGCTCATAGCAACAGATGGTGTTTGATACTGCAGGGCCAGAGGGGCTCTACCTTAAACTGAGCATTATTTTCTTTCTGAGTTTTTCCCCCCTCTGGCCACATCTTTTCTGGGTGTAGCCACTGCCACTATGGTTTTGCAGTCCCCTCAAGACCAAACACACTCTCAGCCTGCAGGTCACTGCCTAGTCCTAACATCCAGGTGATTTTGCTCCCATTGAGGCATGTCAGTGCAACCATTATATTGCACATCAGTACAACACGAGGTTAGCAATGCCCCGAACCAGACAGTGCCTCCAGTGCAGGAGGAAACTTTCTCTCCAAGCACACAGTAGCTCTGCCTGCAGGCACGCAAGCAGCACCGGTAGTTAGCAATCTAACAAGCAACATCTGCTCTCTATTTGGGGGCAAAGGATGAAAAGCCAGCAAAGAGTAGCCTACAGATCCAGCTCCTCGAGACTGAGATTTTCATACTAAAGGGAAAAGCGTTCAGAAGAGAAAATCCAGCATCAAAACCAACGTTGCTGTGACTCTGGAAGATACAAGATGTGACTAACCGCCTCTGCAGCTTTACACAGTTACTGTCCACGGTTTTTGGTTTTTTTTTTTTTTTGGCCAGATCTTTATTTTGCCAGTTAAAGTGCGGCGAGAGATTGCCACCTTGTGGTTCCTTCTCCTGCAGTGCCATGTTTTTCTTCCCACATGTTCCAGGCTAGACCAGTGGTTTCCAAACTGCTGTCCGGGGATTTCTAGTGACAAGGGTACTGTGGACAAGAATACCCTCCAAATACTTAATTCACTAGAAAAGCACATCTGTAATTCACAGTCTTCAGTTCCTATACTGAGAAACTTATCACTAGAAAACCTTTCAGGAATCTAACTTGCAAGTTAATAAACACGAGTAACTACTGGCATAGGTACACAGCTCCCAAACAGCAATACAAAACACAATGGCAGTGATGCACAAAACTCTTTACAATATTCTCAGCACCAAGAAGTCTGTGAGAAATTCAGGGCTGATGACAGCCTGCCATTGCTAAAACATGGGATGGTCTCAGACAGTAGCTCCCACAAGGTCCTAATAAAGAAGGAGCAGCCATGTGCTCATGCCCCCACCTTGCAGACAGGATGGCAGAACAGGAGCAGGCTGTGCTGGTCCTGAGTCACTCTGGGTACTGCTTAGGGCAGCTTGTGAGATCTGTCCCCCAGGCAGCATAACTTGGGGCGAGGTCTGCACAAGTAGGTTACCAGGTGGCTCCTTCATCAATCATGGCCAGGTAGAGCACCAGGTAATATTTCCCCAGTGGTAATAAAGGGGAGTTACAAAGTGGACGATCAGCAAGACCTTGCGAAGCAGCACACAGCCCCTGTGAACACCCAGTGAATTCATCACATTTGAAAAAAAAATAAAAAAAATAGCCGCCTCCCCCCAGAGAGAGTGAGAGAAGAGTCTCTCATAACATAGAAAGGAGCACAGATCCCCCTGGTAGCTTTTCATGCCTGTCTGCCTGCTGACATACTGACACAGAAAGTGACCTATTTTCATGGGAGCAATAATGAGTGAATAATCAGAATTTTTCGGGCACTTCCTTTGCCTCCATGACATTTTCTAGCTTATTGCTTTGCCACTACTGAGCCTGTTGCAGTTGTAAGCAACTGCTTTCCAGTTCTCCAGCCTCCTTTCAAGTTTGTCGTCAATGTTGGTCCAGGGAAGACACAAAAGTTTAAGGAGTCCCTAAGTGCATTCTTGAGCACATACTTCTGAAGCTGATAAACCCTAGCAACATTCCCCATCAGGTCTAGACACGAGAATAAATGTAGCTATAGTGTGGTACATTTGTTTCCTAGAAATACTGCAAATCTAACGACTACCCCCATTAAAAAAACAAAACCAAAACCAAACAAACAAACAAAAACAAAACAAAACAAACCCCAAACAAACAAAAAAATCAAACCACTCCCACGGGAAGAAGGGAAATTAATCTGAACTGAAAAGCTGAAAAGTAGGGCCTCGACAGATAACAGAGGGAGGCTGAATGCAAATTCCAGCTCCAGAGAGTGCCGGCAGAAGCCCCTCAGCAAACTCCGACCGCGCAGCACAGGGGAGGCGCAGACCCCGCTGTGCGACCCCAGGCAGTGTACCTGGGATGGCAGCGGGAGCCAGCGCGGCCGCG